GACAGGCAGACTCTGACTCAGTGACAAGACTCGCGACGTAGTCGAGACGACTCCTAGCTGCAAAGTCGACTAGCTCAGGGACTAGGGCAAACGCTGCAGTAGACTCAAGGTCAGGGTCAGTGACGACAGTAGCCAGGAGACGAGTGACAGTAGGACTGGCAACACGAGCAAGGTCGGACTCAGGGTCATGAACATGCGGGAGAGAGGACGCGGGAGGCTCAAGCAGGACAGCACGCCGTGGAACAGAGGAAGGACGAAGTGCCATACCGTGAGTGCCTGGGAGAGCAGGAGGACGAGGACGGGCGAGACGACGAGCACGAGTAGGTGTGGAAGCATGAGTCTCAGGCTCACGAGGCTCAATCAGGGACTCAGTCACCTCAGTGTGAGGAGCAAGCGCAGGCAGCGGGGAGCCAGGTAGTAGGTGTGGCTGAGACTGGTCTGTCGGTAGACATAGGAGGGGTAGAGGGAGGCCAGTGGAAGACGGGAGACTAAGAACCTGGCGAAGGACCGAGTCAGGCGGCGGCAGGGACGACTGCGGCTGTGGGTAGAAAAATGGTCGGCAAGGGGCAAAACCAGCAGCTCCAGCTCCTCTAGCACCAGCACCACCAGTACCTCCAGCACCAGCAGCTCCAGTAGCACCTCCAGCACCTCTACCACCAGCAGCACCACGAGCTCCGGCAGCGCCAGGACCTCTAGCAGCAGTAGTACCTCCAGCACCTCCAGTGCCAGTAGCTCCAGTAGCACCTCCAGCACCTCCAGCACCAGCAGCACCACCTGCTCCAGCAGCTCCAGCACCTCTAGTACGAGCACCTCCAGGACCAACAGCACCAGCACCTCCAGTACCTCCAGAATCTCCAGCTCCAGGGCCTCCAGCACCAGTAGTACCTCTAGCACCTCCAGTGCCAGCAGCTCCAGTAGCACCTCCAGCACGAACAGCACCACCAGCTCCGGCAGCTCCAGTACCTCCAGTACGACCACCTCTAGGACCAGCAGCTCCAGCACCTCCTGTACCTCCAGCTCCAGCGCCTCTAGCATCAGCAGCACCTCCAGCACCTCCAGCACCAGCTGTACCTCCAGGACTAGTAGGTCCAGCACCTCCAGCACCAGTAGCACCTCTAGGACTAGTAGCTCCGGCACCTCCAGCACCAGCAGCTCCCCTAGTACCTCCAGCACCAGTAACACCTCCAGCACCTCCAGCAGTACCTCCAGTACCTCCAGCACCAACAGTACCTCCAGGACTAGCAGCTCCAGCACCAGCAGGACCGTACCCTCCACCACCAGGACTGCCTCGCCGAACGATCCACGCACGAATCGCCTGCGGCGAGAGCGTCTCAAGTAGATCAGGCTGCGGTGGCTGTCCAACTCCAGGACCTCCTGCAGGGTCACCAACAGCTCCACCGCCACTGGGACTCGCAGTACCCCCAGAGTCAGCACCCCTAGTCGCAGCACCCCAAGAACCAGCACCCCCAGTCGCAGCACCCCCAGAACAAGCAACCCCAGTCGCAGCACCCCCATAACCCTCACCCTCTGTCTCAGCACCCCCAGGCTCAGCACCAGGAGTCTCAGCTCCGGAGTCCACAACAGCAGGCTGCGGAGGCGGCGAAGACGGCCGAGGCGGAAAACCAGGGGGGGTCTCCAAGCGTGGAGAGCGGCGAGTGGCCGCCGTGTTGTCAGCGGCGGGGTCACCCTCCTCAGCTGGGCCAGAGGAGTCAGAAGAGATCTCCAAAGGCTCAACCAAGGGGGGTGGGTCTACCTAAGACACACCTAAGGGAGCAGGACCCAGTGGGGGGTTCTTCCGGGGGGGGGGGACTGGTACCAAGAAAAGAGGCGCTTGGGGGACCGGGTGGGACATGTGCGGGTGTAGCCTGTAGAAACAGACAGACTCATCAAAGGTGACGTCCTGGGAGGAGAAGACTCGACGCGAGCGTGGGTGGTAGAACTGCCACGGTGGGGCGTCGGTGGGGAAGCCAAGGAAGACACAGCAGAGAGTGTGAGAGGAGAGCTTGCTTGCTTTGGCATCGCAAACAAGGGAGAGCACGCCCCAGAAACTGGGGAGCAACCGCATGGATCATGGAGGTATGAGCAACCTCCATGATCAATCCAATGCGACGCTCAGCAATCCCATTTTGCTGAGGAGAGGCCGGAAGCGTGAACGACTGGTGGATGCCCTCGTCTCGATAGAACTCCGCAAGGAGGTCCGAAGAGAACTCACCGCACGTCCCAAACGTCCATGTGGAGAGTCTGCAGAGGAGCAGTGGTCGGAGGAAACTTGGAGGAGTGAGGAGCGGCGCGCTGCCGCCCCTCGACGCAGGGAAGGCACGGCGGGGTAGGCAAGCGCGGGAGGGAGGGGAGGGACCTGGGAAGGCCAGAGACAAGGAGACGGGAGTGCATACTGCGGAGACGCGGTAAAGAGGGGTGACCGAGGCGGTGGTGCCAGAGGAGAGTATGGTGGGAGAGAACCCGACACGAGCAAGATGCTGCAAGCTGACCAGACGCAGACACCTGACTCGACGCAGCCACCTGACCTGCCTCAGCTACCTGTGCAAACGCAGTGGTCAGTGTGTACAGACTAGACCCAGGACGTCAAGTGAACGTAGCTAGGTGACGGCCAGCCCGGGAGGACGTACAGATCGCCACACGCTGCCCTCCATGAATAAAGGTATCAACCCAGACATCCTGAATGGCAGCATTGCTCACCAAGTTCGTCGAGAACGTGGGGAGGTGGAGACCTGACAAAGAACCGGAGGGGACTGCTGGACACGGGAGGACAGTGGAGGCTCGTGCGACTACTGGGCCCCCAGTGGGGTCATCCAGTGAGACCGGTACCGGTGCAGCAAGTGGTGTGAGTGTGGTGCAGTCACGAAAGAAGCAACGTGATGCGCCTGAGTCAAGTGTGAAAGTATCCAAGGCCTCAGCTGAGGAAGGACCTGTGGCGGGAGACGCACGAGCACCTAAAGCTGCAGCAGACTCACTAGCACCTAGTGCGGCAGCAGACTCACTAGCACCTAGTGCGGCAGCAGACTCACTAGCACCTAGTGCGGCAGCAGACTCACTAGCACCTAGTGCAGCAGCCTCGACAGAACCAGTGACACATCGCTGAGGAAACAACTCACTAAGCACCTGCGGGGAGAAGGTCTCCTGCTGACTCTGCTGCCGCCTCTGTGCAGTACGTAGAAGACCAAAGCCTCCACCACCTGGATGGGCTCGCTGAAGAACCCACTTGCGAAGCTGCCGAGGGGTGGGGTCGTCCGGGAGAGGCAGTGACCGCCGCTGCCCACCCCTAGCCGCTGCAACTGCCGTGATAGTGGCCATGACAGGCAGTGACGGTCAGTAGTAGGTCCAGAACCTCCAGCACCAGCAGCACCTCCAGCACCTCAAGCACTAGCAGAACTCCCAGCACTCCCAGCAGCACCTCCACCAGCAGCAGCAGTAGCACGAGCAGCAGCAGCAGAAGTAGTAGCAGCAGGGCGGCTCGGTGGGGCTGGTGATCGAGGTAGGGCGGCGCGGCTCGGGCTGGGCAGGGCGGCTCGGGCTGGCTGGGCGGCGCGGCTGGGCAAGGCAGGGCGCGCCGCGGACTGCAGGGCAGGGCGCGCGGTGGACAGTGCAGCAGGGCGCGCGCTGTGCAGGGCAACAGGGCGCGACGCGCGGGGCAGCAGAGCGCGACGCGCGGGCTACAGTAGGGTGCGATGCGCTGGCTGCAGCAAGGCGCGACGCGCAGGGCAGCAGAGCGCGACGCGCTGGCTGCAGTAGGGCGCGACGCGCTGGCTGCAGCAGGGCGCGACGCGCAGGGCAGCAGGGCGCCACGTGCGGGCTGCAGCAGGGCGTGACGCACGGGGCAGCAGAGCGCGACGCGCGGGCTGCAGCAGGGCGCGACGTGCGGGGGGCAGGCAGTGCGAGTAGCTGCAGGGCAGCTCGACACTGTGCGAGCAGGGCCGGACAGTGCAAGGGCGCTTCGGGCAGGAACGAGCGGAACTATCGGTGGGCCCTAAAAACTTAACAGGTTTCCTGATATGAATACCATGTCAAAATAACTGTGCAGGAATGAATGAACTATGAATGAGTTGGGTACAAGTACTAACCCTTAAGTGTTGTGAAGGCTAACCCACTATAGCCTAGAGAGAACACAAACATTTAGTTTGACAATATGGTGCAAATCTAGGTGCCAACTACTTCGGGCATGTAGTATGAGTAGTGAGTAACACAGTGTTTTCAATATGACTCAACTGAAAATCAGCATTTGACCTTCAGCGTACCCCAAAACGAACCCGAGGGGCTGGGTTACGGGTATCACAAAACTGTTTTTCAAGCTAGCGTATACTAGTGAAGGAGAAATCACAACAAACACACAACCAAATAACGGCAAGCTGACAGCTTCTAAATCCTACCTCGCGCTTTACCTTGAAACTTAGCTCGCAACGGCTTTTCAGGGTCGCAATTCCCTGACTCAAATGCGGCCATGGGTCTATTAGCGTAATACACAGCTGTGCTCGAGTAACCAGACACGGAAATAACGTACGCATCGCACGAGGCCAACAGCAGCCACTCTGTTACCAGCTCTTGGAACAAACGCTCCTGCTCACGTTTTGTATCTCCCTCCACTTTCCCGTCAAGCTCCCCTAGGCTTGGATTGGAAGAGCCATTGCCAATGCTGCTGGCAATGCTGGAGCTCAGACTATTCGCATGCCGAGGTATGAAGTCGGTAGTGATAACCTGGCAGGGTCAGCGGAAGAAGAGAGCGAGGAAGAAAGGAGAGCGAAAGAAGAAAAGAATAACAGGTTTTCAGGGCAGCGTGATACATAAAAAACCACGAGGGTCATTCTCATAAGAGAGCCTTGGAAATGGCCGCCGAGTGCTGGCTCTCCCACCTCCCTTTTCCCCCTGGTCCCTCTCTCCTCCCTCCACTGCACCTTCCTTCCCACCGAGTGATACACACACACACACACAAACACACCCACACACACACACACACACACACACACACACACACCCCTCTCACACACCTTGTAGGGAAATCTAGATTTGAGAGCGGCCTTGAGCTGCGCTGAGTTGGTGATGAGCATCCATCGCACCGCAACGGACGACGGGAACCAGTACGATTCCACACGCTGGAGGCACGGGGAAACAGGGCGAGCAGCAAGTGTTTAGGAAGGTTGTTAAGTGGACGCAGGGAGAAATGAGGGATGGCGAGGGTAGTCAGGAGGACGGAATCCTATGCGCTTGCGCACCCTTGGGGTTGGAAAATGAGAGGTCCAGGGAATAACGTGGTGAGATAAGATACCCGAATCCCTTCCCTGCTCAGTGTTCCCACTCCCAACTTCCCCATCCCCACTCCTCTGCACTCACCTGCGCGCACAGAATCCACTCACCTGCGCGCACAGAATCCACTCACCTGCGCGCACAGAATCCACTCACCTGCGCGCACAGAATCCACTCACCTGCGCGCACAGAATCCACTCACCTGCGCGCACAGAATCCACTCACCTGCGCGCACAGAATCCACTCACCTGCGCGCACAGAATCCACTCACCTTCGCGCACAGAATCCACTTCCGGGCGCCAGCAATGAGCACGTCCACCTGCTTCGCACTGAGCTCCTTGGGCGCCCCCCTGTCGCCCGCCCACACCACCCGGTCGCGCACGCGGATGTGGATCCCCACTGTTGCCACCCGCGGCCTCCCCGCGCCTGCCTTCCCTGCCCACGACCTCCTCCGCAGGCGCCGCTCTATGCTGTGGAACAGCGCTTGCACCTCTGGCTTGGGACTGGAGGAGGGTTTGCAGGGGAGGAGAGAGAGAGCCAACTTTTGAGAGTCGACTCCGAAGACCTCCTCCGCAGGCGCCGCTCGCTGCTGTGGTACAGCATCGCCAGAGGTACAACATCGTCAGAGGTACAGCATCGAGCGGTACAGCGCTTGCACCTCTGGCTTGGGACTGGAGGAGTGCTTGCAGGGAGGAGAGAGAGCGGGGAGAGGGGAGGGTGGAGGGGGATGAGGGAGAGGGTGAAGGGTGAACGCGGCGCGGGGAAGAGTGAGAACAGAATGCAAAAAAGAGACGGTAGACAGGTAGGCGAGGCGGGAATGGAAAGTGGAACAACTGTCTCTCGCCAAGAATTCCAATAACTGGAATGGACTCCAAAAATTCCAGTCACACACCACTCTCCTCTCTCTCCTCTCGCTTTTCCCTTCCTTTTCTTCCTCCCCTTTACCGAATGAGGAACCGCAGAGAGCATCCGAGAGTAATGAGTCTGTTTTCGAGTCGACTCAAAAACTTCCCCCTTCCTTTCCTCCCCCCTTCATTACCGCATGAGGAACCGCAGCGAGCATCCGAGCGCGTATGGCAGCCGCATACCCATCGCCTTAAACCTCTCCGCCCACTCCCCTTTCGCCCTCGTCTGCAGCCACGTCAGCACGCCGCGGTTGCTCGTCATGCGAACGTTCACCGCGCCTTCCAGCTCCTTAAAAAACGGCTCGATCCGCACGAACTTATCCCGCAGCCACACCAGCACCACCTCCCCGTCGCGCGCGCGCTCGGGGATCATCCTTCCCCAGCCATAGTCCACCAACGTGAGGTTCCGCGCAGGTTCCAACGGCACGAACGGGTCGGGCTCCCAGTTGATCATGCTGGGTTCGAAAGCTTTGGGAAGGCAGTGGTTTCGGACTATAAGCGCGCGATTGTCGAGTATAGCCACGACTAATGCGGTTACCAGCCCCGCGAGAACGTCCGCGAAGCCGCCACAGCCGTCCAACCACTCGAATGTGAGAAAGCGAACAGGCGGATCCAGCTGTCCATCCGTCATCAGCTCAGCAGGCTTCTGCTCTATCCCATACGGCTTCAAAAGAGGTGTCCCAAAAGACTCTACCTCTTCGTTCCCCCTTGATTTCTCCGCGTGTTGCTGTGTCAGGTACGCTTTTAAGGCGCGTGCGCGTATTCGGCTGTGCAATGCGGCGTAGTCACTAGCCCAAGTCCCGCATAACCCGTGCGTTTCGGAGAAATTGAAGTCCAAAGAGCGCGGCATGCGAGTCTGTTTTTCGAGAACAGAGACAAGAAACAGATTCAGATGAGAATTCTTAAAAAAAAAAAAAAAACGCGGCATGCGAGTCCGTTGTCGCAACTGGCGCTCCTGCCATCGGCAGGTGAATGCGGGCATGAAGGAGAACAACACGAACCACGGAACAACACGGAACAACACGAAGCAAGTTAACAACAAGGAAGCGTTCAACGACAACGCGTGGGTGAGAGTGTGCGGGAGGAGGGAGATAGAGGGCAGAAAGGGGGAAGAAGGAAGAAGGGAAGGAGTGAGGAAGGGAAGGAGGGTGGAGAAAGGGGGAGGGATGCAGAGTACGTTTCGCGGACCTGAGGGAAAGGAGGTCGGTGATGTTCAGACCTGAGGTTGCAGAGTATGTTAAGCAGTTTCCTGGTTCGGTGCTTACGGAAATAGTCGGGCGGTTCAAAGTTTCGTGATTCTTTACCTTGATGCGCTGGGATGTGGCCAGCGAGGCAAACACGAGAACGAAATGCAGAACAACGAGCAGCCGCACAGTCGACCCGGGAAACGCCATTCACGTACTAGGCGGTTGTCTAGAGTGTGTGTCGTTGTGTTTGATGCCGCGGTGCTAGATGTCGTGGAGAGGGAAATAGAGAACACGGGAGGCTGAAGGAGGCGAAAAATATGCATTGACATAGCAGGATGAGAAGGGGATTTCAAACATCTAGAAGAGTCAGCATTGTATTACTTTCAGGCTTGTCACGTTGGGCTGACGTAGCAGATATGCGGTGCGAGATGCTCACTTGCTGTTCGCTGATATGTGATGAAGGCCCTCAATAAATGATGCTGTCGTTTTCCCGCCTCGACGTAGCAAGTTTCTGACAACCTCGCGTGCGTCGCGTCGCGGGAAATTTTGTTGCCTCCATGTACGGGAATGTCCAACAGATGATACTCGCTCGGTTCAATGAGATTGTCCGCGTTCCAGAGCGTTCACAAAGGGACTGTTGTCCCTCCTCGCGATTTGGGCACGAAAGGGTCTTCACACCTCAATCGTTCACCTCTAGCATTGGTTGACTCCTGGATGGGCAACCTTCTGACACCACCAGTGTCTCAGAGGGTTCAGTCAGAACGAGGTGTACTCGTCTTAAACATCAGTCACATTCAACTGTCATTTCTGGAAACATTTTTTAGAATGGCACTTATAAGCTCTGGTATGTACACTAAAGTTTCCAGAACAGTAGTTTCTCTTGGGCACTTACTGGTAAAGTGGAAAGCATATCATAGCAAAAATCATATGAAGACCCCCAAAAGGAAGGGTTGCATTTCGTAGGCTCACAGAGGAGCAAATTAATCCACTTAAATGTAATGTTTTATATCTGTTGGAGTATGAAGAAAATCGAGTTTAGCATTCCCGTAGGTGCAGCTGTATCGCACCCGTCATTATCGAAGCAGCCCTGGCAGCAGTATCAGATCAACCCGTATCAAGGGCAGGAAGGTCAACAGTCGCAAGAGTCAACTGTCGCAACTGTTGACCATCTGGACCAACGATTGACTTACCATCGAGGAATGGCAACAGACGTAACCGTCCGTACGGTTACACACAGCGACTCGGTTACAAGAAGAAGTGCAATAGTCAGTGTCACTGTAGAATTGCCTGTAAAGCAGTTAGAATAAGGGAATGTACTGTGAAGAAACAGGAATGAATGAACTAGGAAAGTGTGAGATACAAATATAAAACCTGTACCCCTTAGTGTCTACCCCACTACAGCCTACATAGGCTAAGGCATATACATCTGACACACCCCCATAGGCAAAGTGGGGGAGAACTAGGGGTCAAAAGACCAGTCAAGCAAAGCAAAGCAAAGCCAAGCAAAGCAAAGCAAAGCAAGCTCAGGGTGGATCACAACGTCACCACACAGTCTGAGCACAGGTTCAAAGGCCATAAGGCCAGTTCACATGCAAGTTCATATATAAAGGTAAACAAGCAAGTGCAGGTATATAGAGATCACAGTACAAGTAAACTCAAGAGGTAAGCAAGTGAGGCCAAGTAGGCACAAGACCGAGCATAGTACAGAAGCGCTGATGATCACAAGGCTGAAGTGCCTTGGTAAAGATATCAGCAGTGTTGGCCTGAGAGGCCACGTAAGCAAGGCGCAGCTGACCACGCTGCTGCAGCTCACGAGCAAGGAAGTAGCGAAGAGCAATGTGCTTCGTTCTGTGCTCCAGTCTGTGCTCCCGACACAAGGCCAGCACAGCCTTGTTGTCTACGTACAGAACTGGAGGAGAACGAGGCGGCTCTCCCAGGTCAGTCAACAAGTAGGTGAGCCAGCGTAACTCCTGTGCAGCCATGGCCCCTGCGTAGATCTCAGCCTCACAGCTGGAGCTGAGAACAGAAGACGAGCGAGTAGACCGCCACGAAACAGAGCCGGAACCAAGGCTGAAGGTGTAACCCTGTGACGACCGCTGCGTAGCCAGGTCGTCAACCCAAGACGCGTCTGCGTGACCAGTGAGGACCACTGGACTCCGCCCTCCAAGCACTAGCCCCAAGCCTGAAGTACTGCACAAGTAGCGCAACACCCTCTTCGCTGCAGCCATGTGCTCTGGTCGGTGTCTCCCAGGAGCAACATAGCGTGCCAGAATGCTCAGAGGGTATGCTAGGTCAGGTCGAGTGCAGGTCATCAGGTACATGAGGCAGCCAACAAGCTCTGGGTACGGGCCACTCGGCTCTACGGACTCATCCGAAGGCAGAGCTGAGAGCGAGTGGCGAGTAGACAGAGGAGTGGCCTGAGGCGAGGAGTACGTGAAGTCGAAGCGCTGAAGGACCTGCTGCACCATGTGTGACTGAGTCAAGGTAATGGTGCGCCGTGCTCTGTCCCGGGTGATCTGCAAGCCAAGATAGCTGCGCAGTTCACCCAGGTCTGTGCACGTGTGTCTCTTCTACAGCTCGGACTTCACGTGGGCGAGTCCAGCAGTGTCAGCTGTAGCAAAGACCAAGTCGTCGACGTACACGAGGATGTAGAACGGCGGCAGCAAAGTGTCGGTGCGAAGAAACAGCGACGGGTCAGCAGTGGAAGGAGCAAACCCAAGAGCCGCAAGCGTAGTCCTCAGTGTGTCGTGCCACTCACGTGGCGCCTGGCGGAGACCGTAGACTGGCCGCCGGAGGCTCCACTGGGTACCAGGAGGAAACGACCCAGTGAAGCCAGGTGGGCGGCGCAGCCAGATCTCCTCGTGCAGACTGCCCTGTAGGAAAGCAGTGCTGAAGTCAAGGGAGTGAAGCTCGTAGTCACGCTGAGCAGCAACGTGTAGCAGAACCCGAAGAGTGGTCATCTTCGGGGTCGGGGAGAAGGTCTGAAAGTAGTCAACTCCCTGCCGCTGACTGAAGCCTCGAGCCACGTAACGCGCCTTGAAGACAGGCGGAGAACCCGGCGGCCGCTTCACCCTGAAAATCCACATGCCACTGACGATGTGGACCTGGAGCGAGGAAGAGCGGTGGGGGGGGGAGGGGGGCAGTGCGGTAGGGGAAGAGACGGTAGTACGGAACCGACTCGTCAAACGTGACGTCCTGGGAGGACAGAACACGACGCGAGGTGGGGTGGTAAAACTGCCAACCAGGCGCGTCAGGGGGAAAGCCGAGGAAGACGCAAGGAACAGCACGGGAGGACAGCTTGTCCGCAGACAAGTCTCGGACGAAAGCTCGAGATCTCCAGACACGGAACGCAGACGCATCACCAACCTTCCCCGTCCACCGCAGAGTAGGGGAGGTCTCCGGCAGGGAGACCCGGGGCTGAAGGTTGATCTGATGCGCCGCGTACTGAACCGCGAACGGCCACAGAAAATGGGGAGCAGCCGCATGGATCATGGACGTACGAGCGACATCCATGACCATGCCAATGCGGCGCTCAGCAATCCCATTTTGCTGTGGAGAGGCCGGAAGCGTGAACGTCTGGCGGATGCCCTCCGCACGACAGAAGGCTCGCAGAAGGTCGGAGGAAAACTCTCCGCCTCTGTCGGAGTGCAGACGCAGAACAGGAAAGTCCGAGCCGAAACGCTCTCTGAGCTGGAGACGAGCAACGCGGATCCAGTCGATCAACACCTCAGTGACTTCACCCTTGCTGCGCAAGGGGAAGACTGTGGTGTAACGCGAGTAGTCGTCAACCACCAGCAGGAAGTAACGCTCGTGACCCTGTCCACGGACGCGGGCTGGGCCCCACACGTCCATGTGAAGAGTCTGCAGCGGAGCCTCTGTCGGGGGAAACTCGGAGGAGTGAGGAGCGGCGCGCTGCCGCCCCTCGATGCAGGGAACGCAGGTAGGGGCAGGCCCCGGGGGAAGGGGAGGGAGGGACCGGGGGAGACCAGAGACAAGGACACGGGAGGCCATGCCTCAGAGACGAGGCAAGGAGGGGTGACCAAGGCGGTGGTGCCAGAGGAGGGTCTGGTGGGACAGGAGGCGACACGAGCAGGGGGCAGACTCAGGACCTGACCGAGACGCTGCAGCAAACACCTGACTCGACGCAGCTACCTGACCAGACGCAGCAACCGGGGGAGACTCTGTGGTCAGTGTGTACAGGCTCGACCCCGGTCGACGGGTAAACATGGCCAAGTGGCGGCCCGTCTGAGCACACGAGCAGTGGGTCACTCGCTGACTCGCAGGAGTGAACTGGTCAACCCCTGCATCCTGAAGGTCAGCACCACTCACCAAGTTCGTAGAGAACGAGGGGAGGTAGAGACCAGACAGGGAGCCGGACGGTGCCGCGGGACACGGGAGGACAGTGGAGTAGCGAGCAAGAACAGGACCCCCAGAGGGGTCTGCCAGGGAGACCGCAACCGGCCGACTGAGCGGCGTAAGGGTGGTGCTGTCTCGAAAGAAGGAGCGGGAGGCACCCCAGTCGAGGGTGAAGGTGTGCAAGACCTGAGCCGACGCGGTACCTGAGAGAGCAGACTCACCAGCACCTAGAGCAGCAGACTCACTAGCACCTTGAGCAGCAGACTCACGAGCACCTAGAGCAGCAGCCTCAATACCAGGGTCAGGC